CTTAAGTCGTAAGAAATTGACCAATTACAGTCGAATTCGAGGAGAATAATCGACCATGATTCGTTCATTTCTTATGGCTTAAGGCTTGGAACTCTATTGTAGATCCGGGGTTACTCTGACTATTTTTATATCTAAAAGTACTTACACAAATAAAATGAAAGTTCAAATATATAGTTACGAAGTATATTTATTAATCATAACAGATTTACCTTTTTAAAACAAGGTAAAAAAAGGCGCCAAGTGTGTGTGCTCCTCTTGGAAAAAAACCTACATAAATTATTATACACGCTTGTATACTATATGTGCTCCTTGAAGAAAAAAATGACTTCCTATTTCAAACCTATTCCAAACGTATTTTCCAACTATTAGCGTCTTCAACTCGGCCAGGTTTGCACCAACCTGGATTGGATTAATGGCGTTTTGTACTCTCCTATTGGTAGAACGTGTAAAGTCAACCAATAGGAAAGATTAATCCAACCCAGGTTGGTGCAAACCCGGTCGGGCCGAAAACGCCATATGAAAGTATATAATTTTTTTCAAAAAATATGTGAAATCTTTAAATTGTGACAATTATTAGACAGAAAATACATTTCATTGAAACACTAATGTTACACAACTATTTTTAGACTGTCAACTAGCGGCGCCAAGTTTTTTATATTAAAATTCTATATTAATTTTTTTATATTAAATCATGACAACGCTGCACATTATTATTTAATAATAATAATAATACGAGTACAATGAAAAACTATATAAAATCCGGATCGTTTCGAAAAACCCGCCCAGACGCTCCTCGACGCCTTTAAAACTAGGACAAATCCGGACGAATGGCAGCTTTAATCGTTCATTCAATAAGTCTGTTTTTTATTGCTGCACTTTCTGAACTAGCACACACAGTGCAATAAGTTGAAGTGAAATATACGTTTGTTTCATTTCAACTTATTGTACCAGTTCAAAGTGCAGCAATCGTTTCATCATTCATTAGAACGATTTTGTTAATTCTAGTTTGTCTTTAATTTGTTCTAATTCATTTAAAACTTAGACTGTATTTAATATATATATGTATATTTTTAAAAATATTGTATGTGGAAGAGAAAAACATAAAGGCAAAAAAAGAAATATATATATATATATGATTTATAATAAATCAAATTATTTGTTACTTAATGTATTAGTAGTTGTCATTAGCCTAGTAAATAATTTAACTAAAAAAATCAGGGGGTGGGAACAAAGAAGACCGCCACAGGCGCTGCCATCCTTTACTACGCCACTGCATAAACCAATTACAGCTACTGGAATAATTAATTTACAAATAACTGGCGACATTAAATCTTTGTTATTCATTAAAAAAATTGAACCTATTATATTTTTTTTCCAATTTCATTTTTTAATTGATGTTGTTCATCAGAAACTGTTTGCTGTGTTTTAATATTTTCATGAATAGCAGTGTTATGTCTGCTGAGATAGTTAATATAATTAATCCTAGTAATGATATAAATGGTGTCACAACTTTATTTTTGTTCTTAATATTAATTTTACATATTATTTAATTTATGTGTATTTTATAAGTATTAAAACCATATAATATATTTCCTAATGATTATAAATTTGTTTTTTTTTAGTTAAGAAAAAATAAAGTTTAAAAATTTATTAAATAGTATTTTCATGAAAAAATAAGTGCTTGTAATAATACAAACATTTATCTTCGATTTTTAAAGTTTAAAGCTCTTGTCGTTTAATGTCAATGTTGCTTACCTAAGCATCTTATGATTATTTGTTAATTTTTTATTATTAATAAATTTTACTGTTTCTAAATATTTTTTGTATAATCTTTCTCGCTCTTCTGGTGTTCGAGCATTTCGATATGCACCAAGAAAAACTTTGCGTACCTTATCACGATATATTTTTCTAATATAATCGATATAGCTAATTTCAGTATATGTCATAATTACATCTCCTTTGAAATGAATGAGACAAATAAAAGATGCCAAAATATTAATCATAATATTTTGGCATTTTATACTCTTAATATATTTAATTTATATATTTTTATTTTAAACATAACATATATTTTAAAATAACAATGAACTATTTTGAATATTATTTATGTCTACCCGATTTGAATATCAACATAACCGATATATTTTTTATTATCAATACATTTTATACTAATTAATAAAATAGAAAATACTCCTAATTGACCAATAAACATTAATAAAATAAATTTAAAACTAACTACTCCTAGATTATACATATCTGTAAATTCAATTACATTTAATCCAGCTATCCCGAAAGCGCTTGATATCATGAATAAGATATTTAAATAATTAAATTGATGGATTTTCAGTACTGACAATTCATGTTGTTAAAGCAATTAACATTACTGAAATTATTATTACAGCTAGTGCTCTTTTTACTGTTTCATCAGAAATTTTCCGTTTAAAAGCATTAATATTATTATTCCGCATAATGGATCAAATCATGATGATAATAACAGTTCGAATATATCCCTAGCTGTTGAAAAAAGTGCTAAATCAATAAATATCATAATTGACAATAGCACGTGAGTAATAATAGTTTATCTTATAAAATCAATTGTTGAAAACCCAGCATTTTTAGTTGACATTGTATCAAAATATTCATAAATGCATTTCAATCATTATTTGTACCTCGAATAATATTTTCAATGTAAATAACATTATTCTATAATCTACTGTAGCATCAATATTAACATATTCAACTAATTAAACAGAAAATAACAATTGATACTAAAATATAAATAATAAAATTATTTTTGTAAATAAACTAAATTTAATTTTTTCATGACGTTTTCACGCCAAAACGTTAAATTTAACATAATAAAATATTGGAACTTCCAATCCACCGATAATAAACTCAAAAAAATAATTTGTAAAAAGTAATCATTATTATATATGCCATTAATGATGAGTTACCAACTATATAAAAACCAGCGTTATTAATTGCTGAAACTAAATGGAAAATCCACTCCATAAGTTTCGTGAAAAACGATGATAAATAACATCAATCATGTATTTTCCATTAATACTTGCTGATGAAAAATAAAAGTTAAAGAATAAAAGAATTGCAGCACCAATTTCAATAATAATTCAAAAGAAAAAGCCATTTTTAATCAAGTTCATTATTTGACAAAAACTACTCTTTCATCTTCTACTAATACTTTAATTGATATCTGCGTTCTAATGAGACAAGAATCATAATTTTAAATCTTAACACTCTAAATTCACCAGTTTGAATTATAATTAAAACAATTAATCGACCAAAAAATGTAATCTGCTGTTAAATATGGAATTGTCCAGTATCAAAGAAAGCACTCGCTGCTGTAAATAATCCAATTAGATAGTTCCAACTAAAATTATAAAATCCTAAATGTTTATCTTGCCTAGAAATATATCTTCTTTCAGCTAATATTACTCCTGGAATTGATAAAAGAAATCCACTAATTAAAACTACTAAAATATAAATCACAAACAATTTACTAATGATTTTTGAAGTTAGTAAAATTTTAATTTTTCGAGCTAATTGGTGCAATTGCTAATTGGTGCAACAACATCATTCTTCAGTTTTAGGTTTTGCTTCTTGTGCTTTCGTAAAAAAAAAGTGGTTAATGTATAAATATTTATGAACCTCTATCTAGATCTTATAGGAACTACATATATTAATAAAGATTCAATAATTTTAAAATAGCATAACTAACTGTAATAATTAAAATTAAAAAATAATACAGAAATTTGTATTATTTTTATAATAAATGTTTTAGTAAAAATTTAAATACTTATTAATTATTAAATTATTTGTTATATTTGAGTTAAAAAATATAAACTTTGATGAATTATTAATATTATTTTCTTCTGTTACTGTTATTTCAACATCAGATACTGCAGTACTATTTTAAGGCACTACTACATTTTGTAGGTGTTCGGCTTGTTCCCGGTTGATCATCAAAAGACATCCTTACAGCAGAATTCTTTCTTGTATCTATATTGTCAAAATCTTCTATTTCTAATGCATCAATACCAATTTCTGAAGTTAGATTTTGCTTAGCAATCAATAAAAGTAATTTGTTATAGCCATGTATAACATATTTTCTTGCTTGTTCGTTTTTTTCTTTCAAATCTCCATCATACAGTCCATCTTTTTTGGCCTCTAGTTCTAGTTCATCCAATTCATGCAAACTTGCTTGATAATTAATCATTGCTTGTCTCTCATTTTCTTTTTGTTCTTGTTTTATTTTTTTAATTTCTTCTTCAATTTCCTTCATTCTTAAATTAAATGGATTGGGGGTAATTACATTACAGTCTATAACTTTTTTTCTTGCTTGTTTGATAAGTTCTTTTAAATCTCCATCATATATTCCATCTCTTTTGGCCTCTAGTTCCAGTTCATCCAATTTATGCAATCTTGCTTGATAATCATTTGCTTGTATATCACCTTCTTCATGGTTTGGTTTTAATTTTTGAACTTCTTCTTCAATTTCTTTTAATTTGAGGTAGAAATCAGACGATGAATTGGGAGCAATTGCATAATAGTCAACTAGAGCTTTTTTTCTTGCTTCGATATTTTTTTTTAAATCTCCATCATATCCATCTCTTTTGGCCTCTCGTTCCTCTTCATCCAATCTTTCTTGATAATCATTTATTGCTTGTCTATCATATTCTTCTTGCTCTTGTTCTAATCTTTTAATTTCTTCCTCAATTTCATTTAAATTAGATGGGTTGGAAGCAATTGCAGTAGGAATAGTAGTTCCACTAATCACTTTTGCTCTTAAGATTCCTAAAATCTTACTCATTGTCTTACTTTTTCTCTACTTTATGTAGTTTAATTACAAAAAAAGTAATTATTTTCACAGCACAAGCATTACCAAATCTAAAGGACTTTGGATCTCACTAAGCATTACGATCCAACATATGCTTCTAAATTGGTATTTGTCGTGTTGATTCTTTTATTCATCTGTTAGGCCTTCATCGATCAATGCTTTTTACACAACAATATCCAAGACTCCAATCATACAGTTTCTTGCATAAAACTATTTAAAAAATTTAATGAAGTTTTAATTACCTGAAGCATCTACAAGTTATATTTAAATACATATAAAATTCAATATTTTTCTGTATAAACAATTAGGGCCTAAGTATAAAGATAATCGTGATTGAGTAATGGAACGTAAGTTGTAGTTGTAGGCTGACAAAAAAAACATTGTGTATTGATCTATATAATTACAACTTACGTTTTATGATTCATTCATGATCATCTTTGTGCTGAGACTCTAAAAAACTATTTATACTGGCTATGAATTAGTAACTTATGCTGTAAGCTATAAGAAATTAAGTATTCATAGTCAAATATGAGGAGAATAATCAACTTTGTTCTTATCACATTCGATTGTGATTCGTCAATTTCTTATAGCTTACAACATAAATTAACAATTTACAGTCAGTATAAATGATTCTTTTTTTATTCAGTCAAAAGCATGAGAATTGTAATGAAAACATACCTCATATGACAGACAAGCTGTAATATCCTTGAGGATAGAAATTATGGAATCAGGCTGCGAAATCGCAATATTTCAGTTTCTCGTTGTATAAAACTATTTAAAAAATTTAATAAAATTCTAATTACTTAAAATATCTACAAGTTATATTTAAATATATATAATTTAATATTTTTCTATATAAACAATTAAGACCTAACATAAAGATGGCCGTAAGTGAGTGATGGAACGTAAGTTGTAGTTTGAACAACAAAACATATCTATATATACGACTGCGACTCACGTTTCACGACCATCTGTGTTGAAAAGCCCTAGAGAATTATTTATACTGGCCATGTATGAACTATTAACTGTATGCTGTAAAGTTATAAGAAATTAATAATTCAGTCAAATGAGGAGAATAATCGACTTTATTTTCTTCACATTCGATTGCATTCAATCGTGATTGGTCGGTTTCTTATACCTTGCAACACATAAATTAATAATTTACAGCCGGTACAAATGATTCTTTATTCAGTCAAAAGCATGAAAATTGTAATGAAAGCATACCTCATTTGATAATTTGTAATATCGTCGAAGATAACAATTATGAAATCGGGCTACGAAATCGCGATATTCTCAAGAAATATATGTGTATTATGGCTATCCGTTTCTTTAACTTCGTTTTGATCCGTTTCATTCATTATCACTTTTATCAAACTGTTAAGATGCCTTTTCACGAGCTGCTCGAACTGGCGGTTTGCGACAAAAAAGATCACGTGATCACTTTCGTCGCAGAAGTATTAAAACGACAACACATGAAAAGAGGCAAGAAACATTTGTTCGACAGACGTGTATTTGTATTTTTCACTTATCACTTACAGTATTAACCAGTATTAACGCGCTGAATTAAACAGTTATTAGCAGTTGTTTATAGGTTATTCTAACCGCATCGAATCCTTTTACCTGGATTAGCAATAAAGGAAAAGAATAAATTAGGTTATATTAATAGCGAATTCAATTGGACGCACTCAGTGCGCACTGGTGCACATTAAAGCCGTCGTACACAAAATAACGTAAAGATATGTTTATAAATAAGCATAGAAATCGATTAAATCGTGAAATACTCAATACATTTTATTGTATTATTAGGTAAAATATGTATTTCATAATTCGGAATATTTGCATTTCATTTTTATGTTCAAATTAAATCAGTATACAACGGCCTTAATATGCACCAGTGCGCGCTAGTGCTTCCAATTGAATTCGCCATAAGTTGTATGTATTGTGCGGTAAACGCTAGTTAATACGATTGACACGGTGCGGCAGCACTGTCAATAGCGTTTGAACGTTTGACGCAATCTGCATTCCCAAAAATTTGGGGGGGGGGGGGGAGAGTCTTTCTACTTCGTGGAAACGAAGCATTGATAAGATCTCTAAAATAATCTATTATCCAGAGTAAGGTTATAATTAAACTGAGAGGTCTCTGCTCCCCGAGGAGACTATCAAAAATATCTTACAATAGAATCTGTTATTTTACATGGTACTGTGACTATATTTGAGTCGGAAAACCAATAAAGGGGAAATCAGAAGAAGAAGAAGACGCAATCACTACATTCACTATCCTGAAATAAATCCGATATTTAAATTGCTTCATTACGTAATCATTTTTTATCGACGGAAAATATCTATTTTAGTTTACTAAATATGTAAATATATGTATCTAGACATCTTTTATGCTATTTTGTGAATTTAATTATGAAATAGTCATTTTTTACCTATTAGCTGTAGTATTGGGTAGTAATTAGTTAAAACGTTAAAAGTTAAAAAAAAAGTAAAAAGTTAATAACTTTTAACTTAGTTAATTTTAAATGCATTAAATTTTATCTTAACTAAGTTACTTTTAAACGTTAACTTTTTAACTTTTTTTGGAATTAAAAATGTTTTTTATCTCTTTTAACCGGTTAAGTGGTATTGTAGCATATATGCACAAAAAGAATCCGTGCCAAAAGTGGTATTGTAGCATATATGCACATCTTGAATAACTTCTATATTATTCAACGAATTTGCTTGAAATTTGGTATACTATTGTTTTTTGGGCTTCTGAACTCGATTTTGGCGTCAAATTTGTAAAATTTGATGGCGAACACAACATGGCGACTAATACGTTGAATGAAAATGGCGATTTTTGTATATATATTGCAATTACGTTTTACCCCCGCAGTTTATATACGAAATGAAATCAGCGACCCAAAAAACCCCCAGGGCCAAATTTTGGTATATTTTAGTTCACAATTGACGCCTACCACTTTTGGCACGGAATGTTTTAAAAAGCCTACCACTTAACCGGTTAACAGAGGTTAATTGGTATTTACTGGATATTTACTTATAGTATTATACAAATATTTTATATGTAAGGAAGACCAGGGATAGTTGATACATGGGGCATATTGTTACGCTTAAAATTGCTGCAAAACAACAAACGATATTATTACATAAAAAATGTAGTATTACAATAAGGCCGGTATGTATAATCGGATCTTATATTCAAGATCTTAAGTACAGTCTTAAGTAGTCTTAAGATGTCACTAACCAATCAGAGGGCCGCATTAGCGACTTAAGACATTACTTGAGACGGTCTTAAAATAAGAACCGGCTATGAATATCGGCTTAGATGTTTTAAGTCATAAGAAATTGATTAATTACAGTCGAATGCGAGGAGAATATTTGACTGTAATTGGTTCATTTTTATGGCTTAAGGCTTATTAAAAAGTAAAAACTTAAAAAAGTTATGTAATTATATGTGAATAAAAAATAAAAAATTTAATTTACTTAATAATCTATATTGTAGTTATTTAATTTCATTTTAAGAAAAATTAGGACATTTTGACCTCAAAAATAATTTTTTTCGAAAGTAACTTTTTTTTAACTTAAGTTAATTCAATATTAACTTAACTTTTGTTAAGTTAATTTTTTATTCCTTCAACTTTATTAATTTTGTAAAGCCATTAACTTTAACTTTATTCAGTTTAAAAAAAAAACATTAGCTTACCCAACCCTGGCTATATAGTATATTAAAAACCATGCAGAAAATGGTTCTAAAAATATCAGAAAATCGATCCATTTAAAAAAAAAATATATAAGGGGAATCTCCTTTCAAATATTAAAATATATGTATTTTAAAGAAAAAAGGTAGCTCGAACCATTATTCTTACATCATATTTTTAAATATGTTTTAAAAATGTTTATCAAATGTAAAAAAAAAACTTTTTTTTAAATTAAACATTTTTCAAACCTAAAGAAATATTGTTTCAAACGTTTGAATAAAAAATTTTTATTTAATGAGACAAAAGGTTACTTAATCCATTATTATACGTTTTTAAAAATGTTTTTTAAATATTCCTAAAAACATTTTTTAAATCATTTTTTGCTGATTGAGTCAGTGAGCAACAGATATTAAAAAAACATCACCTGTGTCAACTTGTGTCACGAAATGGAAAGCACTCAATAATAATGAATACATTTTCGATTAATCCGAATGAATATTTAGGATAAATCTCACACGAGATGTTAGTGGGACACATGTATTCTATGCATGCGTATCACGTGAGCTTCATGCAGATATCTACATGTATACTCAATAAGGCGCTAATACAAACTATTTTATTTTTCCTTGTATAACTCAAACATGAAATGTATTGAACGCTTTAGGATGTATCATTAATATTAATATTACGATAAGCCTGAATTATTATATATCGTGTTTTTCGCGTAGTTCTCAAACAAGAAATTCTCGTCGTTTCGCATTCGTGTGGTCACGTGATCACACAGAGCGCGCTGCGTAATAATAGGTATTTTCTTGCTCGAGGTACAACTCAAAGTGTTCGTAGCTGCACTAATATTCACGAGAGAACATTGGAGAGACAGAGAGAGAGAGATAAGGCCATCACCGTACAAAAATTTTAGTCGTAATCGTAAGGCCGTAAGCAAATCGGCCAATCACAGTCGAGCGTTTTTAAACGCGAGATCGTAATTTTGATCGTGATTGGTCGATTTACTTGCGATCTTACGATTACGACTAAAATTTTTGTACGTGTGATGGCCTATAGAGAGAGAGTGAGAAAATCGCGGGCGGTGCAGAGAGTGTAGCCGTCGAAGGAAAACACCTAAAACTGAAACGCGTCTGCTGGACTTAACGCCATTGCGCACGCGGGCGATCTCTCGTCGTGTTAGCGTTTCTATTACCGCGTTTATCATTGTTCCAAGACTCATCAGATGGCCCTGGTCGACAACTTTAAAACGTAAGTTGTTCGTTTCTACTATTTTACGCATGTACAACCCGCCGTCGGCGTGCAAAATAATTCGTGGTATTCGCGGAACATTATCGGTTGTCCATCGCCGTTCGTAGTCACTCACGATCGCTCCCACGACGCGTGCGTTGCTAAAATCATCGCTCTTTGTTAGGCCTGACGTTCGCCTGTGCATGTTATTCTCTGGTAAATATATCACAGAAGTATATATGATATCGGAGTACATATGATCGCTGCACCTCGCCAATTACGTTTTCCGTAATTGCGATCGAAAATTCGCCTAAACTGCGAGTCCGAAGTGAACACCGTGTATTTGTACTTTACACGAATGCGAGTATCGATGGTATTCGTCTTCTTTTTTTTTTTCTAATTCAAGCATAGTTCAATCAATTGCGCTCTCTCGAACGTACGCATTTTTCTATCTCGCGCATCGCAAATCATCCTTTCTCGCTCAAACGACTCGCTCGGATGATTAAGCGTCAATTCGCGGGGGCTGACATTTTACGAACTTTTCATTAACCTTTGATCATTACGCGAAAAACACGGGGCTACGATCGACGAAATCGTCCGACAGACATCTTATCGATTTAAATATTTTTTCTTTCACGAAGGACGTCTCTCGTACCGTCTTCTATCTTTTCTATCGCATTTTTATTTACTTCCGGCACGCGGCGGGCAAAATTACATCTTTCCCATAACGTTTGTTAAATGCAAAACTACATTAAACGACCGTTTCTTGTTTGCGTGTAAATGCGTTGGAACTTAATGATCGAGACGTTTGATCGCATCAATATTATTCTCCACTTTTCATCGGTTCTCTGCGTTTCAATTTCAAGTGCGATTAATTTAACATAATTTAAAATTCGGATTGCGAGCAGTGGCCGATAGAATTCTTATTCAAGTAAAGATCGAATAACACGAAAGCCACATTGTGGCAGTAGTAGTTTGACGCCTGGCTGACCTCATTGTCGGTATTCCGACCAGATATATATACTTCCATGTGAATCATTATATCTGTGTGACTTGAATTTCGCGACTTGGAGGTTAAAACGCGAATATACCGCGAATATACCGCGAACATTAAGGGTGACTTCTTTCTTTCGCGCTTAATAGCAATTATAATAGTATAGTTGGATGGGATTCGGACTCGTTACAGATATCAGGGAGAGGACATTGATCAGCGGGATTTGGAGCAACTTCGTCGAACTGCGTACGTTTATTAGCGACGTTGTGAAACTCGTCGGTAGAAGCGGCGCGGAACTTCCTCGACGATATTGCCGTTGGCCGATAACTTCGCGTATAAAATCTTATTATTAATCCAAGCGAGAAATGGCGAAGAAACAGTGATATTACACTTCCGAGTTATATATCGATATATCGATATATCGATATATCGCATTCTATTCGATTTCGCTTATCATTGGTCTACACTCT